ATAATAAAAAAAAGGAGCCTAGACATCATCTTTCAAGAAATCATCAAGGAAAACTGCCTCAATATCTTAGGTCTAGAGAGTAGAGTAGAAATTGAAAGAATCCACCCATCACCTCCTGATAGAGATCCTCAAAAGAAAACTCCCAGGAATTTTACAGCCAAATTCCAGAGCTCCTAGGTCAAGGAGAAAATATTGCAAGCAGCTAGAATGAAATAATTCAAACCTCATGAAGCCACAATCATAATAACATAAGATTTAGCAGCTTCTACATTAAAGGGCTTGCAATATGGTATTCTGGAGGGCAAAAGAACTAGGATTACAACCAAGAATAATCTACCCAGCAAAAATGAATATAAATCTTCAGCATTGAAAAAATAGATATTTAATGAAATAGAGGACTTTCAAGCATATATGATGAAAAGACTAGAGCAGAATAGAATTTTTTTTTAAGGCAACTGGGGTTAAGTGACTTGCCCAGGGTCACACAGCTAGTATGTGTCAAGAGTTTGGTCTGAGGCCGGATTTGAACTCAGATCTTCCTGACTTCAGGGCTGGTGCTCTATCCATTTCACCACCTTGCTACCCCTTCTAAATAGAAAATTTGACTTTCAGATAACAAGACTCAAGGGAAGGATAAAAAGGTAAACAGGAAAGAGAAATCATAAGGGATTCAGTAAGGTTAAAGTCCAGGCTACAGGTTCCCACCCTTGAGGTAAACCATTTACATTCCTATTGTTGTTGTTGTTGTTATTTGTCCTTTGTTGTCAAAGAAGACCAAAGATGTCAGGAAGGTGGGAGACCTTGGCATTTTTAAGCTAAGGTTTTTCCTAGGTCTCAGTTGGTCTGAGGCAATACCTGTTCAGTGAATTAAGGCTAGGTAAGAAATGATGCAAAAGATGGACTAGTTTGGCTACTCAAAAAAAAAAATCTATCTGGGAGGGGAAGACCTTCAGGGTTTCTGTGGGTAGATGATACATGTAACTCCTAAGAACTTTATTATCATCATGATGGCAATTAAAAGGAGTTTACATAGACAGAGGGGCATGGATGTGAGTTGAATATGATAGAACATTATCTAAAAAAATAAAATTAAGGGATGAGAAAGAGGAATGTATTGGGAGAAAGGAAGAAGGAGAAGTAGAATGTGGTAAATTATCTCACATAAAAGAGGTGCAAAGGAGCTTTTACATGGAGGGGAAGAAGGAGATGTGGATCAAAGAGGGAATAACATACATACTCAGTTGGGTATAGAAATCTATCTTACCCTACAGAAAAGTAGGAGGGGAAGAAGATAAGAGAAAGGTGGGGTGCTAATACAAGGAAAGATGGATTGAGGGAGATGGTAAAATAACAGCCATTCCCCAGTTGATAAATGGTCAATGGATGTGAACAGGCAGTTTTCAGATGAAGTAATCAAAACTAGAGTAATATGAAAACATGCTCGAAATCACTATTAATTACAGAAATGCAGATTAAAACAACTGAGGTACCATACACACTTAACAGATTAGCTAATATGACAGAAAAAGAAAATGATAAATGTTGGAAGATGTGGGAACATTGAGACATGACTGCATCATTGGTGGAGTTGTGAACTGCTTCAGCCATTCTGGAAAGCAATTTGGAACTATTCCCAAAGAACTGTAAAACCATGCATACCTTTTGACCCAGCAATACCACTACCAGGTCTGTATCCCAAAAAGATAAAAAACAAAAAGGAAAAGGACATATGTATATAAAAATAATTATAGCAGGTTCTTTGCACGGTGGCAAAGAATTGGAAATTGAGGAAATGTCCATCAGTTGGAGAAGGACTGAACAAGTTATGGTATATGATTGTGATGGAATACTATTGTAGTGTAAGAAATGACAAATAGGAGGCTCTCAGAAAAACCTGGAAAGACTTACATGAACTGATGCACAGTGAAATGAGCAGAACCAGGAGAACATATTTAACAGCAATATTTTATGATGATCTACTGTGAATGACTTAGCTATTCTTAGCAATACAGTGATCCAAGGCATTTTTGAAGGATTTATGGTGAAAAAATGCTATCCATGTTAGAGAAGAACTGATGGAGTCTGAAAGCAGATTGAAGCATAGAAAAAACTTATTTTTTTGGGGGGGGGTTCTGTGTGTTCTTTCATAATATGACTAATATGGAAATACATTTTGCATGACTGCACATGTGTAACCTATATCAAATTGCTTGTCTTCTCAGTAAGGGGGAAGGAGAAGGAAGGAGAAAATTTGGAATTCAGAATTTTAAAAAATGGATGTTAAAAATTGTTTTTATGTGTAATTGGAAAAAATAAAATATTAAATAAAAAAGAAATGACCAAATTAAAGGTAAAGTTAGATTAAATTAAAAATTGAAAATGTAATTCATAAGTGCTAAAATTTGGGGTCAACAAAATTTTTTTTCCATACAAAGTTTATTTAAAAGGTTTGCAAAGTTTTAAAAAACAAATTTCTTATTTCACTGGAAATTGTTTATCATTGCTCAATTATTTACTTTTATTAAGTTGTACTTTATATTGAATTGTATATTAGTGGTTATTATATCCTTTGGTAGGTAATGAAGGCATTAAATTTGCTCTTCAAAGTGTATTACTACAATATGACTCCCGTTGCAAAGTTGCACAATTTGTTTTACTGATGTTTAATTTTCATCAGTGATGAAAATAAATGTTTATTTTCATCTTGATTTATTTTTAAACTGTTTCTGTGGACTACTATCTTATTTTAATGTTAATTTGTGTTTTTCTTTTATTTATTTTAGTTTTCAGCATTCACTTTTATAAGATTTTGGTTTCTAAATTTTCTTCCCCTCCCTCCCTTTTCCCCTCCCCAAGACAACAAGGCTATACATATATAATCTTATTAAATATTATTCCACATTAGTCATGTTGTGAAAGAAGAATCAGAACAAAAGGGAAAAATCACTAAGAAGAAACAACAAAACAACAACAAAAAAAGAAAATAGTATACTTCGATCTGCATTCAAACTCTATAGTTCTTTCTCTGAATGTGGATAGCATTTTCCATCATGAGTCTTTTGGAATTGTCTTATGTCATTGCATTGCTAAAAAGAGCTAAGTCTATCAAAGTTGGTTGTCACACAGTGTTGCTGTTATTGTGTACAGTGTTCTCCTGGTTCTGCTCCCTTCACTCAGCATCAGTTTATATAAGTCTTTCCAGGTTTTTCTGAAATCTGCCTGCTTATCATTTCTTATAGAACAATGTATTCCATTACATTCATGTACCACAACTTATTCAGCCATTCCGCAATTGATAGCCATCTCCTCAATTTCCAATTTTTTGCCACCCCAGAAAGAACTGCTATAAATATTTTTGTACATGTGGGTCCTTTTCCCTTTTTTATGATCTCTTTGGGATACAGACCTAGTGGTATTTCTGGGTCAAAGGGTATGCACATTTTTATAGCCCTTTGGGCATAGTTCCAAATTGCTCTCCAGAATGGTCGATCAGTTCACAACTCCCCCAACAATGCATTAGTGTTTCAATTTTCCCACATCTTCTCCAACATTTATTTTCCTGTTTTGTCATGTTAACCAATCTGATAGGTGTGAGTTGTTTTAATTTGCATTTTTCTAATCAGTAGTGGTTTAGAGCATTTTTTCATATGACTATAGATCGCTTTCATTTCTTCATCTGAAAACTGCCTATATTCATATCTTTTGACCATTTATCAATTGGGGCATGGCTTGTATTCTCAATAATTTACTCAATTCTCTATATATTTTAGAAATGAGGCCTTTATCAGAGACACTGGCTGTAAAGATTGTTTCCTAGCTTTCTGTTTCTCTTCTAATCTTGGTTGCATTGGCTTTGTTTGTGCAAAACTTTTTAAATTTAATCAAAATTGTGTGGATTACTATCTTAACTGAGAAGCATGATGGAGTAGTGTAATGATCAGAATGTGGAACTGGAGTCAGGAAAACCTAGGGTTAAAATCTTTCCTCTTGATGCCTATTAGCCTACTAGTTGCCTAGTGGAGAATTTAAAATTAGCCAATATTTTTGAGCTCTAGATAACTCTTAAATTAGGGAAAAGTTGGGAAATTACAGATCTTGATATATTGGTTGTCTGAATTAGACAAAAATATTTTCTAGGGCTTTTGAATATGTCACAATGATTTATTTAATGCAATTTTATTTTTTAAATTAACAGAAATCTTTTCTCTTGCTCCTTGTTGAGTTGTTTCAGTCATGTCCAACTCTTCATGACTCCATTTGGGGTTTTCTTGGCAAAGATACTGGGTTGGTTTGCCATTTCCTTCTCCAGCTAACTTTACAGATGAGGAACAAAGGCAAACAGGGCTAAATGACTTGCCCATACAGCTAGTAAGTGTCTGAGGCTGAATTTGAACTCAGGTTCTCCTGACTTTAGGGCTGGTGCTCTATCCACTGTGCCACTTAGCTGGTCTGTCTCCTTCCTACCCCCAACCCATTGTGGGGGAAAAAAAGAAAAAATATAACAAATGTGCAGAGACAAGTAAGATAAGCTCTCTCATTGGATGGTTTCAAAAAATATGTCTTATTCTGTACCCCTGAGTCCATTTCCTCTCTGTCAAGAGGTGGGTAGAAAGTTTCATCAGTCATTTGAAATCATGGAGGATCATTGCATTGGTTTAAGTTCTTACAGCTTTAAAAGTTATTTGTAAACCATTTTCCTGGTTCTGCTCTTTTCATTCCTCATCAGTTAACAAAAGTCTTCAAAATTGTTTTTCAAATATTGATATTATAATATAAATTGTTTTGGTTCTTACTTTAATCTGTCAATTCATACAGATCTTCCTATGTCTCTCTTTTAAATTACCTGTTTCTTCATTTCTTTCATAAAATAATACTCTATTACACTTGTTTAGCCTTTGCAAAAAAAAATCAACTCTAATAGAACTGCACTTTTAGAAGTTTTGTAAATTTTAACATGTATCAAGTCTTATAAAATAAATGTTGTTTGTTTTTTTTTTAAGGTTCGACAGGAGTTGCTAGAAGAATATGAACAAGTCAAGAGTATTGTCAATACCTTAGAAAGTTTTAAGATAGACAAGCCCCAAGATTTTCCTGTGTCATATCAAGATGAACCATTCCGAGATCCTGCGGTTTGGCCTCCTCCCGTTCCAGCAGAACACAGGTAGCCTGCGGAGTGTTAATTCTATGCTTTTCTGATTCTTGTTATGATTAATGACTGCTTTTAAGAATGAAAAGAATATATGCCTAAAAAAAGAATGGAGTAATATTTTTTGATTTTATTGTTAGCAAAAATGCCTTTTTTTGGTTAGCAATTTCATATATTCATATGTGTATATGTGTGTATATACATATATGTATATATATTTATCATATTTACATATGTATATATTTATGTTTATCAGTTTGCTGATTTTAAAAAGATCCTGGTAAGAAGGTGTGTTAATCATATAAAAATGTTATACTGTTTATATTACATACTTTTATAGGTGGTCCTTTTGTAAAGCAAATCTTGCTTTGAGTATAGTCACAGCCTTATTTCCGCTGTATTTATGTGATAAAGAACTATGCTGAGACAATTTGCTTATCTGATTATCTTACTTTGAGTACTGCCTCTTTTTTTGACTTGGAGATCCTCAGCCATAAGGTTCCTGTGTTATGGAATAAGCAAGCCAGAGTCTTCAAAGATCAATGATAATGCAGCCTGAAAAAAAATCACTTAATAAATGTCACTCTTTCTTTTTCATAGATTTTTATGAAATATCTTTCAAATGCCTTGATGCAATCCAGACCTAATGTGTGTATGGTATTCTCCAATCTGCTAGTCTTGTGGCCCTATCAAAAAGGGAAATTCTGTCATATTGGTATGACTTAATAAGCTCATAGTGTCATCTTTTTCTCTAACCGTTCAAAAACCATCCCTTTATTTTTTAAATTCAGTTTTATTTTCAGTTCCATACTCTCTCCCTCTTCTAGCACCCTCCCCTATCCATTGAGGAGGCAAAAAATAAAAAACTCATTACAAGTATGAAGTCCTACAAAATAAATTTCTGTATTAGCATGTTCAGGAAAAAGTAAGAAAAAGAACAAAATATGCTCCAGTCTGTAGTCTGAGTCAGTCAGCTGTCCATCTGGAGGTAGATAGTGTGTTTTATCATGAGTCCTTTGGAATTGTGGTGGGTTATTGTATTGATGAGAGTTACTAAGTCTTTCATAATTGATTATCTTTACAGTATTGCTGTTACTGTGTAAATTGTGCTTCTGGTTCTGCTTACTTCACTCTACATCAGTTCATACAAATATTCCTAGGTTTTTCTGAAACCATCTCCTTCATCATTTCTTACAACCCAACAGTATTCCATCACAATTATATAACACAGAGTTTTCAACCATTCCACAATTGATGGATAGCCTTTCAGTTTCCAATTCCTTACCACAGAAAAGGCTGCTGTAAATATTTTTGAACACGTGGGTCATCCCTTTAATAATGCGTTCTCCAATGTTTTAAACCAGAAGTTTATATCCAGCCTACCAGTCTATGGATTACAGCACCTGCCTTTTTCTTCCCTTTAAAAACTGGGACATTTTCTCACCTCTAGTTGCTTGGAACCTATTTCATTCACTGTATCTTAAGGTCACCAGTGTTTAGCAGTTAGATCTGGAATGTAGTTTGTTCAGGCCAAGATGATTAGAATTCCTTTCTGGGTACCATTTTCTCAGTTACCTTGGTTTTCAAATCTTATGAGGTATTTTCATTTTGTTTTTCAGTCTGAAGGTTATTTTTGGTAGATGAAACAGAAGTAAAATTAGAGTTGAATATTTATGCGCCTCTCTCTCTCTCTCTCTGTTGCATAGTCCATTCTCATCTCATCTGTAACAAGCAAAGGTTCCGTCTATTCTTTTTCCCTCCAACATAACTCAAACCCAAACTAAACAGACCCTTTTTTTATTGTCCTATTTCTGATGTGTCCTTGTGGCATGAAAGTGACCCTGGGTTCCTGCAGGTTATGCCAGTAGAACACAAGCTCATATGCTCAGACTTTGAACACAGTCCTGGAGACAGTCTGAGTATGCTGTCTAAGAACTGCCTTAGTTAAGACAAGAGAGACTTGTAGGTTGGTTTCTGGGTGAGAAATTGGCGATGGTATGCTTCCCCAGTAGTGGTGGTAGAATTATGGAAAAGTGAGAAGGGGCTACTAAAAATAATATTTTTTTGGTTGATCTGTAAACATTACTTTAGTTGTAGAGACTCTAAACGTGACATCTTTGTTCAATGACCATTGAATTGATGCACTTTAGAAAGAACAGAACAGTAGCAGTCATAACACTTGTGATCAACAAAACCAAAAGATGAAGGAAATTGCAGCCATTTGGGAGGTGAGCTCCTAGGCTATCCTTGGAAAAGGGAACAAAGAAATTGGTGGAGTTGTTCTTATTGTAGAACAAAAAGCATCATTTCATGGGATATATGGTCACCTTAACCTGTAGTACTCATGGAAATCATAGACAAGAAAGCACCGTGAAGATACTCATAACTAATATACCGGTATCTACTGTAGAGGATAAAGTAGAAAAAGTCTGCTAACAATTTGACAAGATCCTTCAAACCAAGTCAGCACACACTTTTTTCTTTTAAAAAATATTTTGTATTCTTCCATTATAGTCATTTCCCATTATATCATTCTTCTCAATTGAACTCTCCCTTTTAACTAAAAAACCAGATAAATAAAACTTGCTGACACAGTGATGGCATTTAACAATGTTTAAACTTGGTAACTTTGATTAGAACGCTGGCACAGAGGAAATGATGGAAAATATTTTGGAAGTTTCTCGAGTTTGAGAAATAAATGAGGCCTACTCAATAGCTTCTCCAGTTCAGTCATTTTTCATTCGTGTCCAACTCTTTGAGACCCCATTTGGGGTTTTTTTTTGCAAAGATACTGGAGTGGTTTGTCATTTCCTTTTCCAGCTCACTTCACAGATGAGGAAACTGAGGCTAATGGGGTTAAGTGGCTTGACAGGGTCACACAGGTAGTAAGTGTTTGAGGCCAGATTTGAACTGAGGAAGACGAGTCTTCCTGGCTCCAGGCCCAGCACTGTATCCATTGCACCCCCTAGTTGCCCCTATATATTCTAGCTTCTCACCTATGTATCGTAAATACTTTCTTCTAGACAGGAGTTGAAAAATTGTGGACATGGTAAGCACCAAACAACCTCATAAATAATAAAATGGACTTTATATTAATAGGAAAAAATGATTCCTCATCTAAACATTATATCTGAAGCAGATGCTTGAGGGTACATTAGATTATCATTTGGTTTAGGAGAAAGTAAAAATCAACATTGAATTAAAAGAAAGCTTAGCAGATGAAGAAGATACTGTGAACATAGATTGTTCTGTAGATTGAACTGATTTATTAAACTTTCATAATTGGGAACAGCAAGAAATGGAGTAAGACAAAAATATTGATCATCACCATTTCCTGAAAAAGTATAGCTTTTGCATTTGCCATAAGGAAGATGCCAAATCAGCCAAAGCATCATAGCCAAGAATTTCCTTATCACAGTGCCCGCTGCAGAGAGATGGAAGCTGGGGCAATACTGATTTATAATGCAAATTTATATGAAAAGCATTTCAGAAGAAGGTGACAACAGATTATGCATTGTATTTCTTCACATAACAAGAAAAAAAAAGAGAGCAAAAATAAGTCTAAAGAAAGGTTGATGTGAGACCCAGGTGAGACACATCATACCAAGAACACTTGTAAATAAAACTGACAGATTGAGTAATAGGTGCTAAATGGATCCAAGTTGTCAGTGTTTCTTTAATGATATATTTTTATGATCAGTGATGGGAACTGCCACATTTGAACTCTAGCACCTCATTCTTAGAAGTGGTTCTTAGGAAGGTGGGAAGAGTAGCCAGACCATGCCAAACTTATATGGAAGAAATTTGTGCTGAAGGTGGCACAACTCTTAAAGAATCAAGAGGTCTTGTTACAAGATATCTCAGAGAGTGGAGAAGATACCAAAAGAAGAATACAAAACCATGGATGATAGTAATACCCAAACAAGGCAATTGATAGAATGTCAGTAATTGACATTCTACATATCATAAATATGTATCATAGATAAAATATATCTATTTTCTTATTTTCATGAAAATGATCCTTCATTAAGGGATATCCTTAATGAAGGTGCCCAAAGGGAACAGGCAGATTTCAACACCCATTTTCTACATCAGTCCACTTCTTTGAAGACACACAGGTGACTGGTATAAAACATACATGATCCCACTGTGCTCATTGTTTGTTGATTAACTACCCTCCCCCCCAAAAAAAAGAAAAAATTAAATCAGTGGAATAAAATGTAGCTTTGAATGCTTACTTCCAACAAGGAGTCTCTTTTGAATATACATTAAATTCCCTGGTAGTCATGGAGATAACTTTTTAGTGATTCACTGATTTTTTTTATGTCAATCAAGGCTTCAAATAGAAATGTGTGTTTACCAAAGATGTTTACCATTGTCATAGAGGATGTTCTATAGAAGTTGTAAATGGAATAATAACTCCCTATAGGTGTCAGGGTTCTTCAGATGTCTATGCCTAAAGATGACATATTATTTAATGTTACAGTGCTTCTTTAGTGAGATAAGCGATTACTCGAAAGATAATTGACCTAATAATCCATATTAAAAAAAACTAGATGGGTAAAAATGTGTTTTCTCTTGATTATGAAATGCAGCTGGATGGCTGATGCACTGTATCTGTATATCAGTGTGTATATTTGGGATAGGCACTGTAGAGGGGCAGGGAGTTGGGTCAAGAATTGAATAAGAAAGAGAGCTTAGATTTGATTTAGTTTTTTGTAAATTGGTTAGTATTTTTAATGATGCCAAGCTGCTTTTTGGTATAAAGACCTGTCTTTTTAACATAAATGTTCTGTGATTATAGATCTTGGAACACCAGTTTTTGATACCTTACAGGTGCAAGTGATCTGCAGCATATTTTCAGTAATAACCCACATGCAAGAAGTATAAGGATATGTTTTACGAAGTACAAAACTGGAAGAGGAAGCAGATAGTCACATGGAATGAAAGAGATGACAGATGTGTAACCTAGGTACTCCATTAGTAGGTGCCCTGAAAAAGTAAGGGTTCTAGCA